TTTGTATCTTCTCCTAGGGCCTTCATTAGTTGAGACGATATTTTTTTCCTTTGCCGAAAACATCTTCTGCCATTAGCAGCCCGATATGTTGCCTATATTCAAGGCGTTCTAAGAATTTATGAAACCTCAAACACGGTTTAAGATTATTATTACTGTGCCCAAAAAATAAGATGACATTGTATTTATTTTGAAAATTGAAATTTATATTTCTCAACATTTTTATGAATTATTATTATTTTTTATATCAAATTACATTATTATRGTTTTTATAATTAAGAAATATATTAAAATTTATTTTAGTAAATATTTTTTACTTAAAGAAACTATTCAATTACTGCTTAAATATTTAGTGTGCAGCTTAAGTAATTGCCATCATGCAGCGCCCATCCCTCATAGACCACGACACTTGCGTGCTTAAACGCCATTGCGTGCGTCGCCTTGCGTTACACTTTAGCAAATGCAAACATATTTCGTACACGCATGCGAACGAACACACACACCGTGACGCTGTCAAAGTGCTTACCAATTTTATAACACCGTAAACTTGTCACAATGTTGCATTTAATTAATAAACAAATATAAAACACACAACGCTCAAAAGCCACGGACAAGCGCACATACATACTTGCATTGCGCCTAATTGGACGCACCGGCGTAAATAAGCGGCGCTCGCCGGTTGATCTGTCATAGCAAAGACATAACATGTCTACCAACATAACATGCCCACCACCCTCAGCGCTGACACACCGCACCCACCGGGAGCTTATGTAGCCTAACACCCATTTTGGTGCTGAGTATGAGGTATTTGACTTGGCCTGTGTGTCTGTGGACGTTTGTGGCATAATAAATAATATTGTAAAAAATTGTCAAAAAATATGTATATGCATATATGTATGTATGTGTGTATATGCATATATTTTATTTATAAAACGTCAGGAATTGTGCTCGGTGCCCATTCACATCGCTCATTTGCCCTTTTTTGGGCTCGAAGCATTTCAATTACGCACGAGTTGGCAGCACTTATGCGCTTTTTGGTCAGCTAGAATAGTGAAAGTTGCCATTTTTGTTGTTTTTCCTTATAACTATTAAATTTTTTTCACTAAAATAATGCATGGGAACTTGTAGTTGCAACCAGTAATGTCGATAATTCCATTTGAGGTCAACAATAAATTAATTTAAAAAGAAATATTTATGGCTGTTGGTTTACGCCCTGCAATTAAAATGCTAAATGTGACCATATGGCCAAGATGTGATAACTATAAATACGCCCATAAATATGCATTTTTCACTACTTGTGTTTAAGGTATGGAAAACAGTGCTGTTAGCTAGCAATTAAATCTTCGACATTTGTTGTTGACATTTCTTATGATTTATCTGTCACATGTTTAGTTGCGAGTCATAAATAAAATTATCAAAACAGCAACACATTAAAACAAAAGCAACAAGTCGAATATTTCCTTTTTCCAAAAATATTTCAGTTTCACTTGCATCTCTGTCATAATTTTCAAAAATTTTCATTTATTTCCTCATCCTTGCTTTACAGCTCCTCCTCATCACTGTTGCTTGTCAGCCCATTTAATTTCGGTTTTCATTCATCTGCTTGCATTTTCATCAATAGTCAACCTTGAAAATTTCATTTCGATTTTCACCCGAGGTTTCGGCTGTTACTACCAACACTGGCTGACAGTGACATTGCCATTGCCACAGGAATTTCCTCAATACTCATTTATTATTTGGCAGTGTTCTCACATGCACAGTGGGTACTTTGGCAAAATCTATTTGACAAACCTTCAAAATGCTGCATAAATAATTGAAAAGTACTTGCACTTACTTGTAGTGTGTAGAAATTGACTGCGTAAATACCCTTTAGGAACTTTTATAAATCTTAAAGAGATTCAGTTTTATGGAGAGCGAGCTTAAATTGGTATTATTGAGTAAAGTCGATGGGTTAAAGCAAGGATATTATATTTGATGCGAATTAAGGCGGTCGGGTTAGGTTAGATGGCTGATCAAAGATCGCACATGGGCTGCTATAAGTAATCCTTTGGGAAGCCATAGAAAAGAAGAACTCCAGTATTAGAACTTATAACTTATAACGCTTAGTAGACAATACTAATTGCAAAGGCGTTTAATTTGCACTACCACCAGTTCGGTAAGATATCTGAAGGTATGCGCCCACAAAAGTTTAAGTCTTGTCCTCACAAACGCGGGCAGTTAAGAAGAGATTTGTTGTTTCCACCTCATCTTCTTCTATACAGCTTCGAGGGAAATTCCCAACCTTACTGCGCGGTCAATGTCCTGGTAAAAGCCCCACAACTAGGAAGAGGCTAGTTTTACTGAGGGCAAAAAGATAAGTAGTTCTATTCGTATCGATCTTGAGGGAAAAGGCTTTTGCGACAGCGCATGTACGGATGGTTGTCCAGCGCTGATCAAACTTCCGCGAAGCCCAGCTTCTCCCTCAAGCCTTAACCAATTCGTAAAGAAGCTAACTGCCTGTCCTCAAACGGCTTCCTCCCACCCACAACGCACTCGTCGGTATACGGGCAGAGAAGGAGCCGCCGGAGTTCGGTGTTTCCATGATTCGGCGACTCCATGATCCAAGTGATCCGGTTTGAAGTCAAAACGTGTGAGGATATCCGAGTGTTCAGATGCGTGTTCGTTTAAGAAACCAGATTCTCTGAGTCACATCAACCACCTTGAAGGGGTATTAAATGTATAAATGAAATTAAAGTTTATCTTCAAATTTTTTTTTCCCCCTTCAGAAGTCACTTAAAATGTTTCGCTTTAGTCAATTGCATAAATTGCATAACATGGTTCTTTTCCTACAGGGTATTTTATCTCACTTGCCTATTTGAACAGTTGTGTTGGTTTTCTCTTTCGAGTGTTATTGCCAGCAATCGTCTTTGTGGTTATTTTATTTAGCTTAAATTGAAGTTACTGCTCTGGAAATTCTATATAATAGACCAACTTGCACAATATATTAGAAGTCAAGTGACTGAGTGATAGGCTAATATGACATACAGATGTGAATATGATATAGGTATGTATGTATTTAAATATTCAAAGAGAATAGAAAGTGATAATAAGCGAGCATCTTACATTGGAATTTATTTATTCATGAATATCTATTCTGCCTTTTCAAAGTAATCACCTCAGATATACATATATATATATATATATATATGTTTAGTTCCTCAGCTATTTCTCTAATGCGATTTGCCAGTTTATTGTTCCATCGACTGCGGCTATCCGAGGCTGCTTTTTGCCTTTCATTGAGAGTGTTTTTTACACGGTACATATATACCAGAGCACAACCCTTCTCAATTCATCTCGCCTTCAAACGCATGGTTTTTGGCTACCAAATAATTAAAGAATTGAATAGCGCTCAGAGAGTGCATGTAGCTCTGGAAAGTTCAATAATTCGCAATGATTTTTATACAAATATCGTATAATTATTATTATTCTCACACATTATGTTAGTTCGTACGAAAGCTTGGGTACTTCTGTTCTTCCTTCTATTCCGATAGATCTTTGAAATTGGTATAAGGTATCATGCTTTATCTAAACCGACTTTTTAACTTCTTTATACAAGATCAAACATTTTCATATGAATTACAGAAAAAAATATCGATATTAAACTCATCGATAAAAAATTATGGATATTAAAGTTATCGACAAATTTTAAGAACTGTTGATATTCCAGCCTAAATCTACATTAAGAATTTCTACACAAGTTATTGTTAGTTAGTCCTGGTTAGTATGAGCACAAAATAAACACTTAAGGGGTTAGGGGGTTTGAAAATTTCCAAAAATCGATTTTTTTTTTTCTGTTTGATTTATTAAATTCTACAATATCTCTAGAATATAGTTCTAAATTTTAAAGTTTATCTGAGTAATAATTTCGGAGATACAGCCTTGGGAACTTGTGCACTCAAGGCTAGCTGCGCTAAGTGCCCTCCTTAAACGCGTTTTTCTCGAAACTGTGTTTTTGAAGTCGGTGGTCACGATTTCTCGAAAAGTTATCGACCGATTTAGTTCGTAGTGTGTACACTTTTTTAAATAATATTATCTAGTTATTGAACGAAGGATTTTTTCTTCTTTCGTTGCAACTTATTTTTCTGACCAAAAAATGCCGAAAATTTTACCAAAAATGAGATTTTTTGTTCAAAGTCMGAGAAAAGAAGGACAATTTTAATATTTTTTTATTTCCTACGTTCAAAAACGAGATTTAGATATGTACTAACAGAATATGCTTAGTTTTTTAATTTTATATGAACCAATAATAAGTCATGCTGTCCACGGCGAGAGCACTTTTTTGAGAGACACCCAGGGAAATGCGGTCTCAACGGCGGAATTTTCAACATTTTTGTGTCGAAATTTCAGGAGATATTGTTCGAATATATACCTTTGATATAACAAATTATATTTTTCAAATATATAATATGATTGCTTGCATTAAAAAAAATCGTAAAAATACCTTTTTTTTTTGTACCTCTGAAACCCACCTAACCCCTTAAAGGAACAAATTGGTTTTTAGAATATTTAGATACTTCATATGAGTAATTTAATAGTTTCTACAGACTTCGTCGCGAGAAATTTTATTGTAGTTCAATATAATTCAAAATAAAACAAAAATTGCATATTTGTCTTTCAGAGCGCCCATCTTCTAAACTACTCTTATCAATTCCCCGCAGTGTCTGTAGACGATAAGTGGCACACATTTTGTCAATATTTGATTAAAAAGAAAGTTATCATTTTTATAAATATTTAGTTTTAATTGGTTATTTTCCGTTGCTCAGTAATTACGTAGTGAGTCATAAATCTCAAGTACTTACAGAAATGCGATGACAATCGTCTTACAAACATACTTACATCTGTTTAGTCTGATGTAGTAAACAGAAAGGAAAGCCTGACAAATTTTGAACATAAAATGATGAATATTTTTTCTGTAATTAATTGGTGTAATACTCATCTTTTTATTCTGCTCTTTGTTCTTTTAGCTTCCTTCATAAATGATGGCTTCCAACTAAGAAATATTTCTACGGAAACAAAGAGGATTCAGTGGAGTCACTGACGCCAACGCGTTGTTAATTAGTCAAATTATAAGTAAATATACAAGCAACTGCCAAAAAATTGTGGAGAACAGTAAAAAAGGAATAACGCGAGGACGCTGCAGAAAACAAAGTTCACTTGAGAAGTAATAAGTACGTGGAATATAAGCCGAAAAAGAAACTACGCACTCAGCATATGTTCCACAATCACAAGCAGTCGATCGAGGACAACAACACTACCTGGAAACACCTTTCATGAAATGACACAGCTGTTATAATTAGCAGTGACACAAACCAGAGCACACGTTCCAACATTGTCGATACGGCAGTGCACACAACATAGTCTTAAATAGCGCAGTGTTTTCAACGCGAGGTTCGTGTATTGTACATGCTGCTTGTGGAACATCGCACTGTCAACACACGATCGTATAAGAGATCACGGTATAAGTTCCAAACAGCAAAAACGTAGTGAAGAGCGTAAAGTAGTAGCAATAGAGCGTCATTTAACAGAGGGGAACTGGACTAGCCATAATGGATTCTACAGATGGGCGCATTGTACGCGCTCCAGCGCGCCGTAAACGCAACGATGAGCAACTGGTCGATCGGGTGAGTACACAAATAAACAAAGTTATTTATTTATTTCTTATGCGTATGAAGATCAGGTATTGTTTAAATTATTTAATAGTGCTTGGTGGGGCTGAGAAAACTTGAAATGTTAGATCTTTTTAAGTTATCGTCAAACATTACTGTAAAAATGTGTTATTCGGAGTATTTTGAAAGAGTTTAGATAAGCTCGTTTAGAAAACTTCTGCATACAGTAATTTCAGCATGAAATGCTATTAAAGCTAAAAGAAAGAGTACGAATGAGGTTGATCAATAGGTTCCGACCTTAATATGTACATTAATGAAATAAGCATCACCTATCCTTTCTTAGAGGGAAGTATTGTTATTATCTTTTCTAATATTCGCCGTGGTATTGTAACAGAACTGTTGGCTAGCTATGTATATCTTTCTTCGAGGAACTTGAGCGTTTTCTACATTATATGTTCTCAATAAAACTACGGTATTCTTCCTTGCTAATCTTTCTCATATATCCTATATGGTCTTAACCATGTATTAATCTGTATTCGAGATATATTAACCCTAATTATATTTTTTAGTTTTTGGTAACATTTTCAAAGTATGGTCTTGTCTTTATTCAACTCATACTCCATTCATGCTCTTTTTTCTAACACTTTCTTATTTTTGTGTTTTGTAACTTGACTTTTGGTGATGTTTGTAACACCGAAAAGAAACCGTCGAAGTATAAATCATAAAAGGGCGATCCATTTCGAGGTTCACTCCTTAAAAAAAAAAGAAAGAAATTATCTGCTCACCGAAGTGTTCTCGCAAGAAATCCATTGATTGATGCGATGTGTGGTAAGTGGCGCCGTCTTGTTGAAACCAAATGTTGCCGAGATCACGATCTTCAGTTTCAGCCATCAAATAGTCAGTATCATAGCACGATAATGGTCGCCATTGAACGATTGATGATTCCACGAACCCAGAAACCACACCAAACCGTCGTTTTTTCTTGATGAAATGGCAGCTCTTGAATCTCTTCAAGTTGTTCTTTGTTCCAAATGCCTGTTTACATACCCATTGAGTTAGATATGGGCCTCAACGCTGAACAAAATTTGGCTCTTTTTGGAACTTTTCAAGGGCATATAGAGCKAAAAGATGTCGCTTGGGCGGTCGAGCAGCTTCAGGTCTTGCACAAGCTGAGAAGGTTCGAATATTAGAGTGAGGTTTTTAAATATATATTATATTTTAATTCTTTTCCTGGACTATCTACCTCTACGAGCTTCAAGTAAAGACAATATTTTGTCAGCAGGTGCTACAAATCATTCGCAAAAGTCCTAATATTTCTAAAACTTTTGAATAACCACATTAGCGCCTTTATGAAAATATATTGCGCCGCAACGGCATATTTTCTACTTAAATATGCATTACAATTTATTATTTTCTATTTAATATCAATTGAAATTAATGAAGTTATAAAAAGTGTGATTAATTTTTTTAAACCGCATTTATGGCGCAGGAATAAAAAATGTTCTCTACGCGCACGCCATTTCTGGCATATGCAAAACGCCATCACCTCCACCGCGCCGCCCGCCAACAACAATGTGCGCGATTGTCTTACAGCTCAGCCTTGGTTCTGTGGCGATCGCATGCGACGCTAAGCGGTGATCACTACCAAGCTTTGGAATCGTCAGACGCTGCTGCCAACACCACAAACTGCACAATTGTCTGCGGCGATCGGCCGCATGCGAATGCCAATGCACTCTAATGAGTGTAATACGAAAAGAAATGTCGATGTAGGTGTGTCTATGTGTCAGTGCATGAGCTCATATGCAAATCTGCCGTGACACAAGGAAATCCAAAGCGGTTAGAAATGTAAACGCATTTGTGGCGTTTTTTGTTTCACATAGATTTTTCTGCGGCGTTTTTGCTGCTTCCATTCCCGCTGCATTATCGTACACCGCCGGCTTGCGTTCGCCTTAGCGTAGTCACTTTTCCATCCAATCTATCTATCGAGTCTATATCCCGTGTGTTTTGCTGGAGCTTTGATTTATCTGGGTTCGTTCTGCTCTTGTTTGTTGGTTGCTTTGTGTGCAATGTTGTTGCCTTTCATCAACAACAGATAGTTATAAAGACAGTGGCGGCGATGGCGGAATTGTCGTTGTTAGACAACTTTTTCCAACACTCACACCACCATCGAACAACAACAACAACAACACAAAAAAAACGGTGGCTTTGGCAAATAAATGGTGCGATAAAATTGCAATTGTTTACGTTTCTTGTTGTTGTTGTCGCAATTGTTTTGTTGTTGTTGTTGTTGTTATTGCAAATGTTTTGGTTGTTGTAATTGTTAATGGTGTCATTGCTGATGCTGTTGTTGTTTTTGTTGTTGTTGTAATTGTTAATGTTATTGCCCTTGTTGTTGTTATTATCGTTGTCGTTGTTGTTATTATCGTTGTCGTTGTTGTTGTTCTTGTCACTGCTATTGCCATTGTTGCTGCTTATACTATACTTATGGTTATTGTAATAGTTGTTTTTGTCATTCTCGTTGGTATTGTGGTAATGTTGTACTCGTTGTTGTCGCCATCATCATCATCATTGGCAGCGTCCCCATCATTGTCGCCGCTGTTGTCATCAATATCGCCCAGTTGCATGCCGCGTGCAACTTGCAACACTTAATGGCGATTTTCTCTTTGACAACAAGCTGAACTCAATTGTCAGCTGCAAATCCATAATACACACACACATACAACCATTCATTCGTCGTTTTTTTTTTGTTGCTGTGTTGCCGGTGAACGCAAAATCTCAAAGGTTAAACGTGTTTGGTTACGGATTTGTCTTGTTTTCAGCGGCGTTGCGTTCGACTTTCAGCCAAGAAAAATGAAAACTATGAGAGATGACTTGGTTTAATCCACAAATCAAATGTCATAAATATGGAAAAAATTTCGATCGATTGTTATATTTTATGGGGTTGAGTTAAGTTAAATTTTTTCTAAAACCAAATTCATTCATTACAAAAAATAATAATATCTGGAAATGTAAGATTAGTCAGCCAATGTATTCTGGCATAAAATTGCTTACACTCCTGATATCAGCTATTGGCAAAAAGCTCGGAATCTCATGCAAATATGTTGGGTCTTCATTTAATCATATTACCTCTAGTTCACCTAGCCGTCTAAAAGTACGAGATCCGAGGTATTTTTCTTTGATCTTGCAAAAGCTGGATATTCAAGGTGAAAGTGTTAAAATCATTCTTCTATCCCATCATCTTCCAAACATCTGATGTAGTTCGCGTCCAGTAAGATTTAGTTTTAACTCTTAAACCACTGAAAAGTGGACTTTGCTGAGGTCGAAGAGTTCACTAAATTTCTTAAAATTTACACTGAGGCAAAAGGACCGCATTGCTGCTGGTGGTTGACCAACCCTTCCCTAGGTAGTCTGACAGTGAACCATCAGAAGCCAGCGGAGCTACTACCCGTTTCCGTTCCTGTCTTACCAAATTCATCAGCCTTGCTTCCTGCAGTACCGCCGAGCCCAGGCACCGAAACCAGTCAAATCATATAGCAGCTCGCGGCTAGAGATAAGGTGTAAAGCCGATTTAGTATAGTCACCTCTCTGAAGGTGGCTTGGATCCGAACAGTCGATCTACTACTACTTTGATGGCAGCCATCTCTGCTTGGAAGTTGCGACAGGAAGCCTAAAACTAAAGCTGTTGGAAAGTTCCCAACAGGGAAGCCTAACTTTTCGCCGATTTTAAATGGGAATCACCAATTATTTTACAAATTAATCTTGCTTTCTAAGTATGATTATACTAATCCAGTCCTTTAATAATTTAAAAAGTTGGAAGATACATATTTACCCACTTAAAATACAAAAATTTCAGTGGTTTTGCAAATTCTCCAGATTATCTTATTGTTTTAAAACTTTTGAATCCCATTTACGATTTTCTCATGTCATTGTCAGTGCTTTTCCATGTATCAGATCTCCACTACTCAAAAGCATTTCCAACCAAGCAATGCGACACGCTCTTATAACCGAAGTGAGTTATTTTTAATTATTATATTATCAACTCCATTAGGCATTACAAATCTGTCTTTTGTACATTTAAAAAAAAAATGTTTCATTATTTTTGTATTATTTTTGGCCATYACTCTGAGTAAGCTGACACCGGCACCTGTTTCTCGTCACTATTGTGGGGGCGTCAACGCAGTGCTGATAAATTCAGAAAAATATAAAAAACAGATCTCGGAAAAAACTCTTTGAAAACACATTCACTTCGCGTTGGCACTCTCTCACATTTTCACGCCGCCTGCCTGGCTAACCAGCCGACTGACTGACTTCACCGGCTGGCATCGCATATCGCTGGAAATCGTCACGGTGGGCGTTGTTATAATTTCACACCGCATTGAACTTTCGTTTTCTTTGCTCGCCTTCGTACGATTTTCATTTGATTTTTTTTCTCCCTCTCTCGAGAAAATTAACGGCGAAACGGTTTTATTAAGAAACGTGCAATTTCGCTTAAATTAAAATGATACATTATATTAAACAAAAAGTGGGAGATTTTATGCCTTTGCTTTGGTTTTAATTACTTTTTCAAAAATATATAAATAAAAGAAAGTAGAGGTTAGGTGAGGTGCAGAGGGTATCTCGTAGGAGGCACACATAAAAATTGTTGATGAGTGAAGGTCATATACAATTCATAAAAGCGCCTAGATGATTACCAATGAATTTTAGTGAGATAATGTTGTATTTTATACTCTTACGTGAGATAACTTTCACCGGCATTTTTTTTATCGCTTATTTAAGGACTGCCTCAATGAAAGATAACACATTGTAGTGTCGAACAAGTTACAAACTTATCTAGAGGTTTGTGATTTCAATCGGTATCATCCAGCTTTGAACCATGACTTAAAAGATCTTTCCTAAAATGGGACAAAATGAGCTGTCACGAGCGATCAGACTATGGTCATGTTAGGTTAGGTTGAAATATCGATCTTACGAGGGATATTGCTTTGACACCATAAAACGCTGTTTCGTTGTGGTTT